CCATAGGAGCAGCCTGGTAGAATCCTTTCCTCTTTGTTTTAAAAAAATGTATTTTATTAGGTGGTGGTGGCACATGGCTTTGATCCCAGCACTCAGAAGGCAGAGACAAGTGGATCTCTGAATTAGAGGCCAGCCTGGTCTACAGAGTGAGTTTCAAGACAGCCAAGGTAACACAGAGAAACCCTGTCTCCATAAAAACAAAACAAAAACAAACAAACAAACAAACAAAAAAGTGTATTTCAGGGGCTGGAGCAATGACTCAATGGTTAAGAGAACTTGTAAACTCAACGAAAAAAATCAGCATCTCATTAGATGCTGAAAAAAGCCTTTGACAAAATTCCAACACTACTTCATGATAAAAGTCTTGGAGAGATCAGGGATACAATGAATACACCTAAACATAATAAAGGCAATATACAACAAGCTGACATCCAACATCAAATAATTGTAAAGACAAAGCAATTCCACTAAAATTAGAAACAAGAAAAGTCTGCTCAGTCTTTCCATATCTATTCAAGTTGAAGTTCTAGCTAGAGCAATAGGACACAAGGGGAGATCAAGAGGATACAAACTGGAAAGGAAGAATTCAAAGTATTGCTATTAGCTGATGACATGAGAGTATACATAAGCAGCCCCCAAAAAAATGCACCAGGAAACTCCTGCCACTGATAAACACTTTTAGCGAAGTAGCTGGATACAAGCTTAACTTAAAAAAAAAAATCAGTAGCCCTCCTATAGATAAACAATAAACAGGTCGAAAAAAAATCAGAGAAACAACACCCTTTACAATAGTCACAAAGAATATAAAATATCTTGGGGTGACTCTAACCAAGCAAATGAAAGTCTTGTACGACAAGAACTTCAAGTCTTTTTAGAAAGAAACTGAGGATATCAGAAGATGAAAAGATCTCCCATGTTCATAGATTGGTAGAATTAACACAGGAAAAATAGCAATCTTACCAAAAGCAATTTCAGTGTCAATGTAATCTCCATCAAAATTCCAACACAACTTTTTACAGATCTCGAAAGAACAATACTCAACTTCATATGAAAACAACAACAAAACCCAGAATAGCTACAACAATCTTGTACAATAAAAAAACTTCTTGAAGCTTCACCATCCCTGACTTCAAGCTCTACTACAGAGCTATAATAATAAGAACAACATGGTATTGGCATAAAAACAGACAGGTGGATCAACAGAATTGATTCAAAGACCCAGACATAAATTCGCACACCTATGGACACCCGAGTTTTGACAAAGAAGCCAAAATTCTACAATAGAAAAAAGAAAGTGTCTTCAACAAATGGTGCTGGCATAATTGGAGGTAGGCATGGGGAAGAATGCACATAGATCCATATCCATCACCCCGTACAAACTCAAGTCCAAGTGCATCAAAGACCTCAGCATAAATCCAGTTACACTGAACCTGAGAGAAGAGAAAAGTGGGAAATAATAGCCTTGATCACACTGGCACAGGAGGCATTTTTTTTTAACATACCAATTCCAGTTCCCCTTCCCTCTTCTCCTCCCATTCCCCAATCCCTTTTCAGGAGACAACTTCTTTACTAGAACACTAGCACAGATACTAAAACTGATAATTAATAAATGGGATCTCATGAAATTAAAAAGCTTCTGTAAGGCAAAGGACACTGTCGATAGGACAAAATGGCAGCATACATAATGGGAAAAGATCTTCACCATCCTCACATCCAATAGAGGGCTGATTTCCAAAATACATAAAAAACTCAAGCCATCATGTCTAGACATCAAAGAACCAAATAATCAAATTTTAAAATGGATCTAAACAGAAAATTCTTTAAAAGAATCTCAAATCTTCAAAAAACAGAGAAACACTTAAAAGACATGTTCAACATCCTTAGCCATCAGGGAAACACAAATCAAAATGATGCTGAGATTCTTGTACCTCTCAGAATGGCTAAGATCTAAAACACAAATGACAGCTTACGCTGGAGAGGATGTGGAGCAAGGGGAACATTCAACCACTGCTGGTGGAAGTGCAAACTTTGGAAATCAGTATGGTGGTTTCTCAGAAAATTGGAAATCAATCTACCTCAAGACCCAGAGATACTATTCTTGGGTCTATACCCAAAGGATGCTCAATCATACCACAAGGACAGTTGCTCAACTATATTTATACAGCTTTATTTGTAACAGTCAAAACCTGAAAACAACTTAGATGTTCCTCCACTGATGAATGGATAAAGAAAATGTGGTACATTTACACAATGGAGTACTACTCAGTGGTTAAAAAAAAATGACATCATGAGATTTGAAGGCAACTGGATTGAAGTAAAAAAAAAAAAATCATCTTTAGTGAGTTAACCAAGACCAGAAAAACAAGCAAGGTATGTACTCACTTATAAGTGGATATTAGCTGTAAAATAAGGATAACCATGCTATAATACACAGACCCAGAGAGGCTAGGTAAATAGGAGGGCACAAGGGTGGACGCATGGATCTCCCCAGGAAGCAGAAATAGAAGAGATCTCATGGTGGACTGGGGGTGGGAGGGGATGGAAACAGGAGGGATTGGGTTGAAGGAGTGGCTGGATGGGGTGGGGAGAGAAACCTGGTGCCAGGAAAACTTCCAGGAATCTACAAGGATGACCCCAGCTAAGACTGTTAGCAACAGTTGGATACGTAGCCTGAATTGGTCATCTTCTGTAATCAGATTGGTGACTACCCTAATTGTCATCAGAGAGCCCTTCATCCAGTAACTGTTGGAGCATTAGGCCAAGCTGGAGGACTGCACAAGCCAGGGGGGGTCAAAGACATCACAAGAAACCCACAGAATCAACTTTCTGAACAGAAACAGAGGAGGAGCGGATTGGTGGGGGAGGGGAGGAGTGGGGAGGCAATGGGAAGAAAGGTAGGGAAAACAGGATGTAAAATAAATAATAAATCTATTTTAAAAAAAAAGGAGTACTTGTTGCTTTTGCAAAGGGCCCAGGTTCAATTACTATCCAAATGGCAATTCACAACTGCCTGTAACTTATTTCCAGGGAATCTGATGATCCGTCTGAGCTCCGTGGGCCCAGGCACAGATGTGGTACACTCATAAGCATGAGACAAAGCATTCAAATTAATAAAATAAAAAACTTAAAGTTTATGCCTGTGATTACACAAAACTAATTATACTTAAGTAAATGCTATTTGTCTTTCTTGATATTTGTCTCTGGCAAAGGAGGGCTATCTTGTAGCTTTTTTTTTCCCTATGAAAACCAGCAGGGGCTGGAGAGATGGCTCTGTGGTTAAGAGCATTGCCTGCTCTTCCAAAGGTCCTGAGTTCAATTCCCAGCAACCACATGGTGGCTCACAACCATCTGTAATGGGTTCTGGTGCCCTCTTCTGGCCTGCAGGCATACATACAGATAGAATGTTGTATACTAAATAAATAAATAAATAAATAAATATTTTTTAAAAAAAGAAAAAGAAAAGAAAATCAGCAATTGTTATCAATATTTATAGTGTTTACTATGCAGGGCTATGAAATGCCTGGAGGGGGAACTGGGAGGGAAGCGGGAAACAGTGTCTTTGTTGGTGTCCTTTCCTGTGTCCGTGAGTGCACCCCTCCTTACCCTGGGAGACACATCCTTCACTATCTCTTAGAGCTCGCTTCCCAACATTCTCTGTGTTCCAACTCTATAGAGACACTGGCTGTTTCCTAAAGCAGTGGTTCTCAGCCTTCCTAATGCTGCAACCCTTTAAGACAGCTCCTCATGTTGTGGTGACCCCCAACCTTAAAATTATTTGTTACTGCTTCATAACTATAATTTTTCTACTATTATGAATTGTAATGTAAATACCTTTGATTTTGGAGATAGAGGTTTGCCAAAAGGGTCACAAACCACAGGTTGAGAACCCCAGCCCTAAATGTTGTCTTTGGTAGATTCAGACCATGCCTGAGCTACTCCCTCTGCTTAGACTGTCACCTCCTCCTCCTCCTTCTCAGCAAACTATTTCAGATGGTCCTTAAAACGCCGGTTCAGGGGTTGAAAATTGTAGCTCTGGTGGTAGAGCCATTGCCTAGTATTCATGAATTCCTGGGTTCCATCCCTGGCAGGGCATAACCCAGTATACTCTCGGAAATCCCAGCATTTGGGAGGCAGGAGGATCAGAAGTTGAAGGTTAGGGGCTGGAGAGATGGCTCCGAAGTTAAGAATAGGTACTGCTCTTACAGAGAGCATGAGTTTGGTTCAGGTGACTCAATTGATCTCACACCTTTTTCTGGCTTCCAATGCATCTGCACATACCAACCGACAGACATACACACATATACATAATTTATATAAATAAACAAAAGAAGTTTAATGTTCTCCTCAGTTGCACAGCAAGTTCAAGGCCAAGAATGAGCTATGTAGATCCTGTCTGAAAACATCTAAGTATCTCCTCCTATAATTTGTCTTACAGACCCGCTTTTGGTTGGCATGCTTTTACCATCTACTGTACCTTTTAACACAACTTCGATTATTATTGTTTATTTGAGAGAGTCTCACTAGCCCCGTAGTTGGCCTGGAATTAGCTATATAAACCAGGCTACCTTCGAACTCATGGAAATCTGCCTGCCTCTGCTCTTTAGTGCTGGGATTAAAGGTGAGCGCCACCACTCTGGTCCACTTTTTATTGTTTCTTACTCCTAACTCTTAGCTACACAGTACTTGAGCCATTAACACCCATAGTTAATGGTTCTATTCCTGAATGAAATGGCTTGCGAGGCTCTAGAGAGACAGACCACAAATGTATTCTGGGATAGAGAGGGTCCGATGCCACAGGCAGATTAGAGAGGTGAAACAAGATACCTAAACATCACCTATCCCAGAAAACGTCTACAGATGCTCAGCTAGCGGCCCGCCCTTTCCCCAGCGAGGCAGCTCAGCGCGCCATGGAGAGTGTCGCCGCATCCCCACGGTGGCCCAGGACGCCGGGTGACTTCCCCTAGTGATGCGCGGCCCTCCTACCGCCCCGCGGTTCTCACCTCCGTCCCGGATTCGGCTTTGAGAAAGTCGCTACACATCGCCCCTCCAGCTCCTCAGGCTCAACTTTGCCGCCAGCAAAGCCATTTGGCAATAGCCAGTCAGACCAGCGAGCCCCGTACGCGCATGCGCTCTGTGAGGGCGGGGGGGCGGGGCGCGAGCGTGCGCAATAAAGTTGCGCCGCCCTCTCGGTGACGGCAGTCTCACGCGCTGCCTTTTTCTTTTCGGGCTCCTTGGAGACCCGGAGTCTGTTAGGTCTTAGCTTTTCTTTTCTGTTATTAAGCTCGACCCGTCTTTATTAGGCAAATTTAACAACATGCACTTGATTTTTAAGTTGTGTTTTAGTTGTGAAGCCCTGGCTGTCAAGGAACTCGCTCTGTAGACAAGATGGCCACAAACTCAGACCCACCTGCCTCTGCCTCCCGAGTGCTGGGATTAGAATTAAAGATGAGCCACTACCGGCGCCTACTTGTTTTTTAAGAAACTATTAAAGTAAATCTTCCAGTCGTGATGGTGCACGCTTGTGATGTTAGCATTGGGGAGGCTGAGGCAGAATCATCTAGAGTTAAGGTTAGTCTGGGCTTTGAGAAACAACAGCAAACAGTTAGGGGGAAAGCTCACTGATTTGGGCTGTTGGTGCACCAGTGGCCCCAACAATTCGTGAGGACATGGGATGGTCGCTTGAGCCCCGGAGACCAACCTGGGCGGCACAGAGGATGCATACTAAAAAGAAAATAACGTTACTGAGTAAGCAAGCTCTTTTGTCTGTTCTTGAGGCACAAGCCTCTGGCTGGGTGTGTTATTTGTAGGTAGTTGAGGGGAATGGGACAGAAATGTATGTTGAAAAGAACTGTGGAAATATACCGAGCCTGTGCATGTATCAAGCTCTTGGTTTGATTAGTTTGTTTGCTTAGAAAAATAAATAAAAATACTAGAAATACGGGCCAGCACCATGCCTGTATGTGGTTCTGGATATCAATACCGCTAGTTAAGCATTCTTAAGCATTTTTCAATTGAACTATATTCCTTGGTCCATTTTGTTAAGCTCTTGAGCCGAGGAGGGAGTAGAGAGTAGAGTAATTTTAGCACTATTGGCTGTCAAATGCCCACTGCCTAAATACATATAGAATGTTTATACTTGGTATATCTACAAACACACATCTAATATACACAGTACACACTAACGTAATGAATGTACCAGACAGACTATTTTCCACACATCAGATCTGTGCTAGGAATACGTCACAGGAGACATGCCTGAATGGAGTTTACAACCTATTAGGTCAGTTACTAGAACTTTCCTGAAAATTCACTTTCCACCAGACGTGTAGGTTGTTTCCTTGTGAAAAAATGTGATGTTGTGTCTGTCTCTTGTCATACTCTTGAAGCCGTGTAATCAAGAGCTAATGCTCTGTGCTGGCTAGTTTTATGTCAACTTGACACAAACCAGAGTTATCTTAAAGGAAGGGACCTAAATTGAGAAAATGCCTCCATAAGATAGGACTGTAGAGCATTTCTTAATTAACGATCGAAGGGGGAAGCCCAGTCCACTGTGGGTGGTACCATCCTTGGGCTGGTGTGTACCTGTCCGTACTACTACGTGTACGACGGTCCTGTAGGGCCTGTACTACATGTACTATGGTACTATGCCTGTAGCTTACTGCCTGCACTAGGGACCACTTGCAAGCCAGGCAAGGGGCCTGGAGATTGACACACACAAACAGAGACAGAGACTTGGGTCATCCTTGAATTCCCCAAGAATGCCCCCTTTATTGTGTTCAGGGGCAGCTTATATAGTGCTCTGGCCATGTCCCAGCTCTCAGGGATCTTTCAGCTTCAGGGCCACCAGAAATCACTCCTCTGCCATCAGGGTCTTGTGCTTAGAGCAGCTGTAGGCTGCTCAGAGCAGAGGAAAACAAGTTGTTTACAGGAAATTCAGGGTCTGGTGGTCCGCAGTCCCCAACACCAGTGGTCCTGGATGGTATAAGAAAGCAGGTTGAGCAAGCCATGGTGAGCAAGTAAGTAGCACTCCACTATGGCCTCTGCATCAGCTCCTGCCTCCAGGTTCCTGTCCTGCTTGAGTCCCCGCCCTCGCTGCTTTTTATGGTGAACTGTTACCTGGAACTGTGAGTTGCTTTTGGTCGTGGTGTTTCACTATAGCAACAGTAACCCCTAACTAAGACACAAGAGTGCTTTGTAAATGCCAGCTACTGTTCTGAGTGCCTTAGAGACACTCCCTGGTCTGCCTGCTCCTCATGCCTACGGGGCAGGTGCTGCTATCATGCACATGCAATAGATGACGGGACTGATCGCTGTTTAGCTCATGTTACTTTATGATGACACTGTAATGGGTTGTCGGACTGATGCTAAGCAGGAAGTGAATACCACATGTACAAACTGAAGGGCCTCTAGTCAGCCCAAGCATGGCAAACACGGCTCTGGGAGGACTTGTTTTCCCTCATTTCCTCTGCCTCGCTAGATTAAATTCCTAAAGTTAGCCACCAAGGCCTATTCCCTTATTTGTCCACTTTCTCTTCCTAAGGCTACTACCAAAGTCCACTATCAAAGTATTGAAGTTCAGAAACCAAAAGTCCCTTTCTACTCACCTAATCAACATGCCCAATTAAAATTGAACACCTCATCCTAACATGGATTTCCCCATGTACCTTTATAAACTGCCATTTACCTATGGGTCACATCTGTCTCCTCTCTATTCAAAGGCAATCCTCCACCCACTCCATACACAAATATCCCTGCGCCCTCTTCCTTATTCCCTTTCCCTTCTCCCTTATCCCCCCTCTGTCTTTGTGTCTTATTCCCTGCCATTTGTCTCTCTGGGGTAAATAAATCTCCTTTGTGCTGAGAAGTTGGCCTTCGGTGTCCTGAGCTGATCCTCTCATGAATAACACCTTAAAAAGCCTCACTGTGCTGTGGTGACACCCCTTTATCCCAGCATTCAGGAGGCAGAGGCAGATGGATCTCTATTGAGTTCGAGGCCAGCGTGGTCTGCAAAATGTTCTAGGACAGCCTATTACACAGAGAAACCCTGGATCGAGCCCCCCCCCCCAAAAGCCTCCATATGAAGGAAAGAGTTTTTTTTTAATATACATAAGATCTGGGGAGGTATCATGTGGGATTCCCCTCTGTTTGCTGGGAATACCACCAGTTAATAAAGGAACTGCTTTGGACTTATAGCAGAGCTATAGGGGAAAAGAGCTAGGTGTGGAAAACTAAACTGAATGCTGGGAGAAAGGGGGTGGAGTCAGAGAGAAGACATGTAGCCCTGCTGGAGACAGACAGAACTTTAGCTGGTAAGCCACAGCCATGTGGCAATACATAGATTAATAGAAATGGGTTAAATTAAGATGTAAGAGTTAGCCAATAAGAAACTAGAGCTAATGGGCCAAGCAGTGATTTAATTAATACAATTTCTATGTAATTACTTTGGTTCCGGGTGGCCAAGACGAACAAGCAGCCCCCTTCAACAGAGGTGTGTGTGTGTGTGTGTGTGTGTGTGTGTGTGTTTACATCGTAGTCCAATATATGGTAGCACATACCTATAATTACAGAATTTGAGGTAAAACAAACAAAAACAACCTACCAGATACTTCCTAAAAACATTTTTTTAAAAAGTGGTCAATGAGATTGTTCAGTGGTTAAGAGCACTTGTTCCTGAGGCCGATGACCTTAGTTCAGTCCCAGGACTCACATGGTGAAAGGAGAGAACCAATTACACAAGTTGTCCTCTGACGTCCACATGCATACAGTGGCATACACACGCCTATATACATACATAAGCACACAAATACAGGTAAAAAATAAGTTTAGAAAGAAGGGAGGGAAGAGGGAAGGTGGGAGAAAAAAGAAAGAAAGGAACAAAGGGAAGAAAGGAAGGAAGGAAGGAAAGAAAGAAAGAAAGGAAAGAAAGAAAGACTATTACTCTCTTTAAAAAATAACTTAAATCGTATTTGTCTGAGTGCTCACCTGTGTATATGTCTCTGCGCCACATGTGTGTCTGGTGTGTGCAGAGGCCAGAAAAGGATCCCCTGGAGCTAGAGCTAGAGATGGTTATAAGCCACCATGTGGGTGGTGGGAACTGAACCCCAATCCTCTGGAAGAGCAACATGCAGTCTTAACCACTGAGTCATCTTTCCAGACCCAAAAGACCATCCTTGATCTGTTCTAGTATGTAGAGGAGGAGTTAAGGAAGACCTCGAGTATCAGGCTAATGTCATACACGGCAGGAGTTACTTCATTGAACTCCCTACTGCACTGTGAGTGGTAATATTCCATAGTCACCGTACTGCCCCATTGCACAGCTTTTCTCCTTTCTCAAGCTGGTATACGTACACTGGTGTTTATTATCCTACATCCCTAGACTGTGTCCCCAGACTAAGTGATGTGTGACTGTGGTAGCTCTGGCCATCAACATCAAGATGACAAAACAACTTCTGGGTTAGAAAAGCCCAGATTCATATTTTTCATCCCTCTGTCCTTCCATTTTCATTACAAGCCTATGGAACAGCATGGGCTGTGGTTTTCATAAGCAATACTAAAGCTGTTCCATAAGTAAATCACAGCGGGCTTGGTTGCAAGTTACAGAAGATGCTGCTTCTATTTATTTTTAAGAATAAATGGGATGGGAGAAGGCTCAGCAGTTAAGAACACTGGTTGATCTTCCGGAGAACCTGGTTCCATTCCCAGTACCTACATGAAAACTCACAACTGCAAGTCCAGTTCCAGAGGCCCTAACAGCCTCTTCTGGGTTCCGTGAGCACCTGCACACAGTGCACCGACACACACGTGGGCAAAACACCCCCTCCCACCATGTGGTCACTGGGGATTGAACTCAAGACCTTTGGAAGACCAGACCATGCTCTTAACCGCTGAGCCATATCTCCAGCCCCAAAACACCCACGCACATAAAAATAATTCTTAATCGGAAACAATGGGACTTGCTGAGTCATGTAGAAGGAAGTCCAGAAATAAGGCAGATTTAGAGTTAGTTAATGAGAAGCTCAGCTAGACAAACAGCGCTGTGTAGCAAGATCTGACTCAGAAAACAAAGCAAGATGGACGTAATCACAGAATATAGACTTGTAAAAGGCCT